AAGGCTATAGTACGTAGGTATTTATAAAATTCTAAAAACATGTACCTATGTGATACATGTATCGTAGTTTAATTCTACACTTCTCTTATTCCCTAGTTCAATAATCAAATCATACATGCATCTTAGTTTATTTTCTAATGTATCAACTAGGTAATTCATGTACTTGTTATGCATCTAGTTACTTTTTCTTTTCAACAATAACAGGACATAAGTCAGAATTTTTTTTTTTTGACAATCTATTTTTGTGTTTGGTAAGGCCTACAAGAATTCATGACAATGAGCCAAATGAGAATGTAAATATTAGCTAGGTGTAGTTTCTAAATGAATGAAACGTGCTGATTTTTTTTCAACTGTTATATCTTTGCTTAATTTAACGGTTTACAACAAGGATAAAAACCAGTTACGTACATAGTACATAAAAGCACTTCTCACCATATATAAAACACACCACTTACAATCTATATCCAGGTGATGCTACAACCTTTTAATTTCAATAAAGTCCAGAGATCAAAATCTACTGCAGACATTGAAATTCTTTAGATGAGATGCCATTGATGACGCGCTCTGCGACATAATAATATGCTTTTTCTGTAAGATGTACACCATCCCAGTGCAAATATTTTGCAGAATCAGAACAAGCTTGAACTTTAGATGTTCCACAAGAATATCATCGTCATAATTATATTGACCTCCTATTCCACAGCACGCTTTGAGTATGGATTTCTTATTGAATCCAAAATAGCTGGGGCGTTCCAGAATTGATTTCACAGCAGAATAATAATCAATATATTTAATCGCAACGTTCGAATATTCAAGTTTTAGTATAGATAGAGCCCTCTCCAAATAATCATTGTGATACATGGCTAACTCATTGTAGGCTTTCAGACAACCAAACTCATCATAATCTTCATAATCCAAGCTTGAGAACATGGTAAGGTAGTAGGGGAAGCAACCCAGAGGAAAATTCCCTGGAACAACTATACGTTTTGCCCCGTATCTGATCACTTGTCTAATGCCTTTACTATGGTCTTGACTATGTGTGGGACAAAAGTTTTAGCTTCGTCAATGGATTTTCCCTCTGAAAATGTTAGGTAATAGTCATTTCCTCCAAATTCACCAAACATAAAAAGAGATTTTCCAAGAACTTTTGAACACTTTTGTCTAGTGTGACGTAGTTTTTAAGTAAGTTGTCAACCAACGAAGTTGAGATCTTAGAGGCCTGTTGTCTTTTGCCGTGGTAATATTTTTAGCTACATAAAAAGGATCATTTAGAACTGTAGCTCCTCCTACTGCGCAATTTACTCCATGGCTAAAATTAGCTTCTTTGACCATGTAAGGGTTGAGAAGGGGAAGCTTAAGAGACATAGTAATATAATCTTGTTAGAGAATCTGCCAGTGGGTTTTCCAAAGAACTTTTCCCCATAAGGAAAATGGTCTGCACGGTAAGATGATTTTACATTAGATATACGGAATCGATTTCCAGTATCTGCAAGTGAATCGCCAACTTGGAAAATGTATTCATAATTAGGGCAGCTGTTGTTGTTATTATTATTAGCAGCATAAGCAAAAGTTAACGAAGATAGAGCTGCAGCTAAAAGGAAAAAAGTTGGAACTAAAGAAGCCATTTGCAATATGCATACGGATGTTAAGGCGAGGTAATATATTTAAAGAGGGGGATATTTATATCTTCTTGAAGTATATTATAGGTGGTTAGGATATCGTTTTTGCCGTTTCTTCTTTCTATGATAATGATATTGATGTCGTTTTTGGAAGAAAAGCAAAAATTGTTACCGCAACATCTTAAATAAAAGGTGAATTTCTTTCCTGCTACGTATGTACTTAGAATTAGTCCATGACAAACTATTAGTATCATTTATTACATATTTCTAAGGGAGTCAAAATGGTTAAAAGAAAACAGTTAACCACCTATACCATCCATTAAAAAATGGGTTGGATAATAAACTTTTTTAAAAAAACAGATCAAATATGGATAAGAACCATATTATTCATTTAGAAAATGGATCTCCAATGAGTATCCAATGGATAATCAATGGGTCTAACTTTTACATTTGTAAAGCCTCAAATTGGAGGTTTCTCAAGTTAGGGAGACTAAGAATTCTCCCAAAAGTGATTATATAAGAAGTCATGGATGATATGGTTACTCATATTATTCGTCAGTTAACCCGTTTTTTATCCATTTTAAATATTGTTCGTGTCGGATAATTTATCCATTTTTTCATTACCCATTTTGATCTGAGCTATATCCGACCCGTCCGCCCAGTTGCCACTCCTACATGTTACATTAAGTCTTACTCAAAGAATTTAAAAAAAAATAAGAAAGAAAAGTAGAACTCGTCGTTAAAGTCCATTTGGACGTATCTTTCTTTAAAGTGAAGAATGAACGGAGCTCAAGTATAATCAACGCATTTCAAAGGTTTGAATTTTCCTATCTCTAGCAATATAGCTATTTGTTCAAATTCTCTATAAATCTTCATTTTTCTTTAAATAGATGAAACTCTTACTGAAGTTCCTCTTAAGCTAGTACTCCCTACGTCCCAACTTTGGGATACTTTTCGTTTTTCGAGATTTAAACTTCTCAATTTTAATTATGCATTTGGACATAAATTTCTTTAGCTTTTCAAAATAAAACTTTATGTATTTGTAAACTACGTAAAAAGTACTATACATCACAATAATTAATAACTCAGAATATTTTAAATACATATGAAAAAGTTACTTTACAAAAATAAATAATTCGAACACCTTCACATAAATTAAAACGGAGTGAGTAGTATTTAAAATGCACTCAAAATCATTTGATAACATGCAAAAGAACTTGTTAAAAAGCAGTGATCATGCAAAAAGTGATAAGTGAATCTTTTAAATTCTATACCTGTTTAAGTAAACATGCTTTCCTCCAAATGAATTTTAATTTCAATTCATCATTTAAAAGAAGATCTTATTATGAAATTAAGGGTGAAAGTCATATTCTTCCTTGAATTTTGTATAAACATGAAATTCTCCTCCAATTTTAGATTACAAATGCCCCCCTGTCCTATCTCAAGATCCATTTATTGACAGGAGATGCTACACAAACGTAATGTCTCTTTTACTCTTTAGATGACCAATCTCTAATTTTATGTAAAAGATATTTTAACCTCCCCCCCTCCCCAACTTTTTCATAACCTTTCCGCGTATCTCAATATATAATTACTATTATGTGGCGCCTTCCTGAGATCCCACCCACCTCTTCCCAAAAGACAACCTCGATCATTCATTACATATGATATATCGAGAATTCAAGACCATAACGTAATTCATTTAGAGAATGCCGATGAGAAAGTAGATTTGGTTCCGAGATCGGGAAAGTTGTGAATACGGTTAGTGAAGCTAGACCGAGAAGTGGGATATCCCTAGAAAAGAGGTTGGCCTTAATTAAGTTCTAGGTTAGTCTGAAGAGTTGTAGCTTTGCTTTCTAAAAGAGGACGAAGTAAAGCTAAGCAACAGATATCTGTATGGCTACTATTCGCAAATTGAGGCCCTCCGTACACTAGATGAGATTATCAGTGCCATACAGAAAACCAATATCAAGAGCAATTGAGAGAACACGAAAACGAATGAGAATGAAAGAAAGCTTAATTGCATTAATGAAAACTATTACAGAAAAGCAACACAATGTCGAGGGGGAGAGACACCAATACAGAGAACCGTTTGCTTGCTTGAAAGTTTGACTACTTAATCCCCCCTAATAATGGTTAAAAAAACTAAAGTTATAAGACTTAATATAACTAAGCTAGAGAGACATAATGGAAATACAGGAAGTAAAACTACTCTATATGTATAATAAAAAGGACTTAGATTCCTACAAGGTAGAAGTCTGTTGGCGGCAACCTTATCTTTAGCATTAGAGTGTGTGCACGCGGCGCTGTTGGAATTTGCCTACGTTTGGGCACTGGTGAGGGCTATCGTTAGGGCGACATATGAACATGAGCGCTTGTCACTTGGTGCGGCAAAGACCACGTGGCCGTCCATGACGCTAGGCATTGTGAGGCTTTCCAGGATGCCATGGGGCGCGTCCAAGGGTTCATGGGGCACGACTGGAAACTCGCCCATGACATTCTCCCCCACCTGAGTAGGGGACGTCCTTGGTGCCTTACTTTCAAGATAATCATCGATCAGGCTCTTGTAGGTTTTGAGGTTTGTTCCCCTCTCCCAAGTTATCTCCTCTATATCACAGCGTGCCATTTCACCAAGAACTTTGGTGATGTTTCCATGAAGCATGAATCACTCGATCATTGAGAATATCGTCTACACGCATTTTCCCAGTTGAATTATGGCTTCGAATACTGGGTATTGTGAATTGTCTCTGAGAGTAATCCTCCATGTCCTCCCGAAAAGGTTTCAGAAGTCTGACATGGAATAATGGATGAATCTTCTACTAGGCTAGGGCATCCACCCGATTTGCAACTTTTCCCAATGCGCTTCTCAATGGATAGGGTCCAATGTACTTTTGCAATAGGCGAGGGTCATGGACTCCTACAAATAAGTATCGCTTTGGGATTTTCACCATCATTTTATCTCCTACCTTGTATTGAACGAAGCGACAATTTTGATCTACATGCTTTTCATCCGCTTTTGGGCTTTGACAAAATAGCTTCTCACTATCTTCAAATTTCGCTTCCATTCCTCCAAGAAGCTAGCAACGCGAGGATATTTTGATATGTTTTGGGGCATTCACAGTGTGTAGGAGTTGAGGTTGCTGTCCGGTAACAATTTCAAAAGCGCTTCTATTTGTACTAGAGCTCTTTTGTGAATTGAAACATAGTTGAGCAACATCCACAAGCTTCACTCAATTCTTCAGCGATCCAGTAACAAAATGGCGGAGTTATTCCCCCAGCATGTTGAACCGCTCCATCTTGGCATTCAGATGTAATCTTGAACTCTGGCTCAACTTGGACACGAGGCACTTAAAGAGCTGGGTCCAAAAGTTCCAAGTGACGTAAAAGTTGTGATCATTAACGATATCTTTAGGCAGGCCTTAATATTTGACAATACGAGAGAAGAAGAGTTGAGTTGTATCTTATGCTAATATATATTTTGGGGCTGCTATAAATCTAGTGTATTTAGAAAACTAATCTACCATAACCAAGATAGTTGTAAGATCTCTGACCTTGAGCAATTCAGTGATGAAATCCAGTGACACGATTTCACAAGGTCTCTTTGGAAATGGCTCCAAAAGTTCTGCTTGTGTCAAGCGGCCCAACTTCTCTTTTTGGCATACTAGGAAAGTCTTAACATACTAAGTAACATCATCAGCCATTTGAGGCCAATAATAAGCACGGTACAACATCACAATGGTGTGTTCTTCACTTGGGTAGACGTCCCACAAAGTATCACGACATTTAATTAGAAGAGTCCTTCGTAGATCCCCACCTTTAGGAACCCATCTTCCATATAGAATTAGAGAGTCTTACCCTGTCCTACCAAATCGACCAAATATTGTGCAGTAGGATCCTTGGTAAGTAGATCTTGTATATGGTCTTTTATAGTTGTGCCACTTTGCTCCCCCTTAGGGTGGCGAGTAGGCACACTGATTCTAGATCAGCCCTTCGACTTAACGTATCAGTAACTAGGTTGGTCTTCCCACTTCGGTGCTCCAGTTTGAAGTAAAATTTTGCTAGGAGTTCCTGCCACCTGGCCTGTCAGACATTTAGCTTTGGCTAGATCATCAAATGACTAATAGTCGTGGTTTCTATCTTGACCACGAATGGGGTCCCTAACAAATAGTGTCTCCAAGGCGTAAGTAGTGGACAATAGCCAATAATTCTTTTTTGTGGGCGGCGTAGTATCGTTCTGCATCCTTCAACTTCTGGCTCTCGTACATAACAGGATGGCCCTCTTGTAGCGAGACTCCGCCCAGGGCATAGTCAGAGGCATCCATGTTTACTTCAAACGGCTTGGCCATATAAGGAAGGGCCAAGATGGGTCTACTAGACATAGTTGCTTTCAATGCGTTGAAGGCCTCCGCTCACTTGGGACTCCAATCCCAAGGCATGAATTTCTTTAAGAGTTATGTCAACAACACTGCAATGAGAGAGTAATTTTTCACAAACCACTGATAAAAGTTGCATAGGCTAAGGAAGGCACTGAAGGAATGGATACCCTTAGGCGGTGGCTAATCTATGACAACATGAATCTTCTATTGATCCATCTTGATCCGCCATGCCCCGATGTCATTTCCAAGGAAGTCAATCTATTTTTGGGCAAAGGAGCACTTAGAAAACCTGACATATAATTTGTGTTCCCGCAGTCGAGCTAGGACTTTCCACAGGTGCTCCTGGTGTTCCTCCAATGTTTTTCTATATGCCATAATGTCATCCAAGTAGACCAATAGGAATTCATCAATGTACTCTCGGAAGACTTGGTTCATCAGGGTGCAAAATGTGGCTGAAGTATTAGTCAAGCTGAATGGCATAACCAGGAAGTCGTACGACCTATATCTTGTCACATTGGTCATCTTATGTCCATCTCCCTCAGCAATCCGGACTTGCTAGTAACCTGTCTTCAGGTTTCTTTTGGTGAACACTATAGCACTACCCAATCTATCGAACAGATCTACCATTAG